CTTCAGAAATGAGGGAATGAACAAGATTAGGGGGATCCAACTCTGATGGAATTGAAGTTTCAATAATCTAAACCTTATCTGCCTGGTCATTGCTCCGCACATTTGCATCGTTCAGGAGGACGATCTCGACAGGAACCTCAGCAACAGGCTCATCTAAAACAGTGATTGATGGCACTGAAGTGGGTGGAACAGGTTCGGTAGATGGAGTCAACTCGACAGTTAATAAAAATTCAAAAAAGTTCCTCACCGTTCTACGTCCAGAGGCTGCAAGGGAAGATTTCTTCCTAACTCGGGGAGTCTGTTCCCGAGAAAATTCGATTACTTCCCGGTCCGTGGCCAATGTGGAGTTGGGCCTATTCGGTACAACAATGAACGACATATAGGTCGGTGTGTACCCTAACAGTGTATGTACAGCTCGACAGAACAGAGATTCGTTGTAATTCCAGAATTTTTGAAGTTGATCCATTTTCACAGATGACTCAGGGATTCTGCCCTTCACAGTCTTGCCTTCAAGCAAAAGAAAACTCATGTCAAAAAAAAGTAAGCAAATAAAAATTGGGAAGGGTCAAAAATTCAAATACCTGGAGCGCCTTCTTCATAAGGACAACAGTAGGATGGCACAACATTGGCAGCATACTCCCAATTTCCAGAAATGAACACAATATCTATCTCATAACCCTTGTTGGAATCTGGGAGTTGAGTCACCAAGTAGCGCTCCTTCTTCCTCACCGCAAGGTAATAGTTATCCCTAGTCAGTTTGAGGATGTAGTAATATAATATCTCCCACAATCCTAAGCTCAGGTTCAGAAGCTTGTTCAAAGCTACCACGCCCATCACTATCCTGAAGAAATTGGGGCAACATTGGATGGGGCACAACTTCATGGCTGACAACACCCAGAGGAGTAATGGGTCAAGTGGGAAACGCACACCACCTTCGATGATCGCTCAAGTATAAACTGGAATTCTCTCTCTTGTTCCAATCAAAGGCTCATCTTTTTCAGCTACCTTCACCTCAACGTCTTATGGGATGTTGTATTTAGTTTTGAAAGAAAGAATTTTAGAGGGTGTGAAGGGGGCCATTGAGGTAGATGAATACAGAAACAAGAAAGGTGGTGCAGATACGAAGAAAGAGATGAAACTGAAACTGAGAAGACAAAGTGACAGAAAAGCAAAGAGAAATCGCTTATAAAGAGGGAGAATTCTAAAAGGCAATATTTAAATACTAAACCTGCTGCCAAGACAAAGGGGGATGTCACGAAATACACGCAATGATGATGAGGAGCCATAAAATGACTGACAGACGAAAGGCGTCTGTCAGACGTTTTCTGAGGGCAAATGAAGAGGTTGGTCCTCATTATTACACGTGTTATGACAATTAATGAGCTCACATAAGAATGACAAGACAAGGCACATGAGAAAGGAATGAGTCACTGAGACAAATACGCCTACCAAACCGTGTTGCTTAATGAGTCAGGAAGCAATGAATGAGTTCAGCACTAGTCAACATGCTCGATGTTCAAGGAATGAGTTCGGTCCTCATCATGACCAAGCTAAATTGAAATAGCAAACCGAAAGATAAAGATTTGTCAAAAATTTAGGCATATAAGATAAGCTAATAAGCTTAATCATAGGCCAAGGAAACTGCCAGAGAGATTACAGCAGCTTTCCAAACTGAATCACTGAAATAAAGGAATGTGTGCCACCTTGAATCAAAATTCATGGAAACCCTAACTGAACAGGGTCTATAAAAATCAAAATGAGTCAAAGTGAAAGGTACGCTGAACTCTCCTTGTCTTCTTACAATTGTCTAAGTTCTATTACTGACTTAAGCATCAGAGTACCTTCGATCAAAGCACTTCGATCTTGGATAGTTTGTTCATTTTGCAGAATAGAAAGATTGGGAGATCAAGTTCAAAAATATTCTTTACTAGAAATATCAAATATTAGTGAGAGGTATCGTCAATTTTTACCTCTTACACTCACAAAGCATAAAAGAGTATTAGAATCGAAAATTCTCAAAGAGTCTCTTTTAGAAGATCAAGACAAAGCAAAATGTTCTCTATTTTTGTTTGATCTCAAAGGTCAAAGATTCAAAAGTTATTCTTCAGATTCTTTGAGCCCGTATTTATACACACTGTTTTCAACCTTGCTCAAGTCCCTTCATTTCTTTCGATTCCAGAATGTTTTTGAGGTCCTCCGAAGTCTCATCCGGAATTTCAGATGAACGGTAACCGGACTTCCAAATTAGGAGCAAGCGGATATCCGGATGAGCCTTCCACCTTGCCTTGATGCCTCTGTTCCCATCTTTATCCGAAATGCCGAATAGGATATCCAAAATTCCAGACTAGCCTTTTGGATCATAGTTATTAGTATATAACGATACGCGATATATATCGTGCGATACATTACGATACACCTGAAAATGATATGTATTGTGTCTCTATATCATTTTTGCATTGTATCATACGATATACGATACGATACACGCGATACGTACAATACGTAACGATTCTATTTTTTTATTTTTTTTATTTTTTATTTTTTGGAGTCGAAATGACATCGTTTTACTCTAAGACTTATTTTTAAATCACTAGCTAGTAAAACAACGTCGTTTCAGTGGTTATAGTTTAAAATTAAATAAATAAAATCTAACATTAATGTTGTTCAATTAAATTCAAAATTCTTAATTAATATTAAAATTGTTCAAGCAGTTGATGTTATAAATTTAACTTAGAGGTCTTTACATTTTGATATTACTGAACTATGTTGGAAACTTAAATAATTGGTAGAATATTAATGAAATACTATGTTATTATGATTCTATGACTTTTTTATAAAGGTATATACATATATTTTATTAATATTTAAAAGTTAAAATTGCACGTATCTTACGATACACTATACGATACGATACGATACGATACACTATTTTTGAAAAACGATACGCCTTCTGATATACAATTTAACAACTATGTTCTGGTTATCATATCTAGCATTCTGGATGACCTTTCCTAATGGCTTTCTTGTTTAGTCTTTTGTCGCATTCCTTTGGCATTTTTTTTCCTTTCTTCTTTGTTCAACTACGACACACTTATATTTGTTCCTATACTTATCCCCTCATTAATACAACTATTAGTCTCCATTAATATGTTTGTAATTATCAAAATTATGCTCAACAAAGCATCAGGTCAACATAATTAAGTTTACGTTCAAAGTATAAGAGGATAAATTGTTCAAAATAAAACTTGAAGGATTTAATTGCAATATGGCTATAAATTGAATGGGGCAATTTGAGATCAACCCTTAGATTTATTGGGTTAAATTAATTAATATGTTATATAGCGGTGAAATATGTTGACACTATTAGTTTTGTCAATTAATTAATTAATTGTATCAATCATTGACGACTTTTTAGATGTCACTAAAATTTTGTAGCATTTTTTAGTGACAACTTTTACTTTGACAATAGATGTATAACATTTTAATATTATTTTTAATAATTTATAATTTCTGTTAAAAAAAATCATTTGACAAACAACAAAAATATCAAATTCTATAATCCTCATCACAAACAAAATTACAATCCAATACTACCTTCATAAAATTGCATAAGATCCAAAAATCTTCCAACAAAGGGTAGTACAAAAAAAGTGAGTCATCCCACCCAACTAAAACAAAACAAATAAACCGTTCTCTCCAAAAAGACTAAATTTTTGTCTTTGCACCTTCCATAACTATAACAAAATCCAAAGTAAATTTGACATCCTACTAGCCAAAAGAAAAACAAAACATTTATGAAGCCATCTACTGCTACTTGCATTCTTCATCCAATATTGTTAGCATAATCCTTTAATGCAGTAACAGGTCATAGTGGTAAGAACCCTCCCAGACATTAAGAACTATCATTATTATCTCAACCATTCAGTTTAAAATAACATCAAGAAAGAGAAGCTGGAAAAATAATGCAAAAAAAGTCAAACCTCAATTAACGTTTTGGAGTGGAACTTGAAATGCATCTATAAAAGTGAAAACATTTAGTGTGTATTTGGTAACGTTTTTGTTTTTATGTTTTTTTTATTAAAAAAAAAGGAACAAAACAAAGTTTTTTTTTTTTTGTAATAAAAATTAAAAATATAAAACATATTTGGTAGTCATTTATATTTAAAAAATTATAAAAACAAAAATAAAAAATCTGTTTGGTATTATACCAAAAATTCGCCACCCAACTTCACCTAAACTCACCACTAACAACTACCAAACCCCACATCTAACCCTCGTAATCCACCCCCAAACCCCGAAAAACCAACCTAAAATCACCCACCCACAAAAACACAACCTGAAACCACCCAAACCACCACCCCCACCCTTGAAATCCACCACCCCCAAACCACCTGAAACCCACCACCACTATCTCGAAAATCCACCCTCAAACCCCGTGAAACCCCTACCCCCAAACCCCAAAAACCCACCCTGAAACTCCCCACCCCCAAAAACCCACACTGAAACCACCCAAACCCACCCCCAAACCACCACCCCCACCCCTGAAAATCCACCACCCACCACCCCCAAACCACCTGAAACCTAGCACCACCACCTCGAAAACCCACCTTCAACCCCCCCCTAAACCCCCCACCCCTGAAATCCACCAACCACCACCCTGATCGTCTTTGTCTTTGTCTTCAATTTCATCTTCGTGTTTGATTTCTTCGTCGGCCTCTTCGTATCCCTCTTTGTCACTGGTTTCAGGAGAGAGAACAAGCGAGAGAGAGAGCAAGGGTGGATCTACTAACCCAACCCACCCCCCAAAAAAATCTCATCCAACCCAACCCAACCCACTTGCAAAACTTCTCCAAAATCAGTCGATCTCTCTCTTCTCTCAGTTACTTCCCCTAAAATTAGTCGGTCTCTCTCAGTTTCTTCTCTCTCAAACGGTCTCTCAGTCACCTCCCCCCATCCCTCTTCTGCACAAACACCATCCGAATAAGATTTTGAAGACTTCGATGGTTGAGAAAGTCGATCAATCACGACCGAAGATTCTGACTCTCTCGTCTCCGATACAGGAGAGTGTTGATCAGAGTGATATGGAGATGGTTGGGGGATTTCTAAAGAATTGTTACTATTGCAAGAAGAAGATTCTTGAAGATGCTGAAGTTTTCATGTATGGGTAGGGTTTCTCCACTCTTCTCTGTTTCTTTTCTTTTTTTTTTTTTACTTATTTGTGCATTTTGAACTCCATTATTTTTTGAATTTGATTCGGTTAATTTACGTTTATGCTTCGTCTGATTAATTTCAATCTAGTTGTTGGTCCAGTCTTATTAGCCTCTCTTGTCATGGGCACAATGCTTAGTGAGGCGGTTTCTTATACTGAGGAGCCTGTTCTTTATCTTCAATTGGCTTTCACTGCTACTTTCTTTGCTGGTTTATTTTAGGCTGCTTTGGGTTTTCTAAGGTATAAACAATTAGTTGCAATCTAAACTTAGTATTGTGGATCTTTTTTTTATGTTCAATATCCATTTTGCTTTATGAGGATTGATGGAATTTTTTTTTACAAATGGAGATTACTTTCTCAATAAAGCCAAAAAGAAACACCTTTTGAGAAAGATATGCCTTTTGGTATAATTTATCACTGTAAATCATAAAAAGCTTTAAATTTAGAACAATGGTTATGTCCCAGAGTAACACCTCTAAGATGAAATTATTAGTACCGGTATGATTGGAAGGGAAACAAATGGGCTTAAAGAATCAATGTAGTAGTTTAGTAAATCTAATTTCACTACTATCTTGATTCTGTTAATCAATGTTTTGGGTGAGGCTCTGAATCTATATTGAATGTGTATTCAGTGATTTACAGGTTAGGATTTGTGATTGATTTTCTCTCCAAGGCAACTCTTGTTAGGTTTATGGTTGGTGCGACAATCATAGTTTCATTGCAACAACTGAAAGAGTTGCTCGGGATAGTTCACTTCACCACCAAGATGTAGATAATTGCTATTCTATCTTCTGTTTTACAGCAAAAAGATGAGGTAAGAAACTTCACTAAACATTTTTTGATTTGAAAAATTATGCAGAAAGGTCATTTAGCTAAGGTGCTACTTTTGTTGCCCTTTGTGAGTAGTTTCATTTTGCATACAAATGCGGAAAGTACTCTGAAAATCACAAATATTTGGTGGCTAAAGTTTTAGGAGTGATTCGCAATTCAGTTAATTTATACATCTCAACAATTCAAAATGGTTCCTAATAGGATTACAAACAGCTTCTATTTGGAGAAATCAAAAAGTTTTCTCTGAGGCTGATAGAGATCTATCTAATAAACTGAGAATTTCAACTGTCATTTCATATTTTATTAGTCGTATGAATGCTTAGCTTAATTTGGGATAAACAAAAATTATGGCTCCGCCCTTGAGAGAGAGAGTCAGACAAATGAGGGAAAGAGACGAAGGGATGAAAAAAAAAAGAGGGAAAAAGGGGTTTTTATAGGTGGCCCAAAAAAAATCTCATTTTGTTGCTAATGAAATTTGAAGGTTAGACCTAATTAAGTATTATACCAAAAATCACTTGTCTTTTTAGTTTTTGATGTTTTCAAAAACATCATTTTTTATGTTTACAGATTTTGACTGTGTTTTCAAAACAGTGTGGCTTAAAAAAAACAAAAACACATCACAAACATGTTATTAGTTTTTTTTTTTTTTTTTGCAAAAATGAAAACAAAAACAAAAAAGAACGTAAACTCTTGGTTAGCAAAAGGCACCTTAAATTATTAAGATGTATTTGCTTTGTCACACTTAAAGTAAAAACAAGTACAATCAACCACTTATTCAAACTAAATACATCATGCCAACTAGTTTGGTTATGCTCCAGAGTAACACTTATTCAAAGTCAACTGAGTAATGGTAGAAATTTACCTAAATTCCAATCAACCATGTTTAGCACCACATTACTTCAATCTATCACGTAGGAAAATAAAAATTACCACATCTTCAGACAATAAAAAATAGAATTGCTGAATTGAAAGCTTTTATCAATCAAAAAATTCTTCTTACCATGACAGAGGAGAAATAAGTCCCTCATTACGTAATTGTTCCATCATTGCTTGCACAAGGTCATTTGTTGCTTTTTTTGATGTCCTAAATTCATCCCTCAGTTGCTCAGCCAACTCATTTGGCTCTTCTATTAGCTGCCTCCAACTCAACCCGATAATACTGTTTGATGAGGTTGAACTGGGCTTTGGACCAGACTTACGGCCACGTATGTATCCTGACCTAAGGCCTAAAACTTGTGAGCAAATTTTCTCCTCATTCTTTGGGTTTTCATCCTCCCCTTCAGACTAAGCTTGAAGCTCAATCATTTGCTCCTGAATTGTCAAAACAATTCAATTTTCAAATATTTTAAAGAATGTAAACACAAAGAAGTCTAAGATTGAAGAGTATTGCCGAAGACTTACCGAAAATTTCCAGTCTCGTGTTTGCCTGTTTATTGCAATGGGAAATAATGGGCAAATTCGCCAAGAGAATGATCAGAGATAGGGACAATTCGCTAAGAGGATGATCGGTCAGAAGGGGTGGTAGGCTGTAGCTTTATGTGAAAGGAGGGAGAATGAAAAAAAAAAAAAGGGGGGGGGGGGGGGGGCGAACATGGGAGGAAGAACGATTTAGGGGGAAAACCTAAAAAAATTATCGAAATTAAAAAATGAAAAGAAATTAAATTGGAAAAAAACTATGAAATCAGAACAACAAATATTATCGACACTAAATAATATTTTTAATGGTGACCTAAAAGATTTTTTTGTTGGTTAGACCTAAAAGATTTGATCATTGTTATTCTTACAAATTAAATTATATAAGTCATAACATGAATTGTTGGATCTAAACAATCTAATTCGTTTATAAATCATCAAATCTAAATAAGTTGGACCGTTGTTTGTCAAAAAATAATTTAGTTACCATTTTCTAATTTTTTCTTTTTCATTCAAATATTTCATCTATATGTGTCTATTCGTGAGTCATGACCCCCATACACACGTCGTCCAATATAAAAATAAATAATCAAATTTATTATTTTTTTATTACAAACATTGAGTTTAAGATTAGATATAAATTGTTAAATTAAATTCAAACACAGTTATTCGGATCGAATTGGATGGACAGATTCATGGCCCCAAACATGCACTCATCAAAACTTAGTTTGTTTTCTTTCCATGTCCCCAAATATAAAATTTAGAAAAATAGATTATTTCTACGTAATTAGTTAACCAAAATTTTCTTTTGTTTAACATGGTTCATAAAAGTATCGAGTCTAGGGAGCAGATTTAGATCACTTCAGCTATGTTTTTATTCAAGTTTTTCACCATTAAATTAATACCCATTGTAAATTGGAGGATGACCTATGTATATATAGTATATGTTGTTTGAATTTGTATTATTTGATTTTATCATATTAGAGAATTAATTGATAATTGACCAAAGTTAATCCAAAACCACGATGGGTGTCCATATTCACAAATTTTCTGTTCTACAACCAATAGGTTAATTTCATGCAGTAATTAAATTCCCAGCAAGATAATGCAACATGAATTGGTGAGGATTTTGATTAGACAATTAGAAGATGATGCTCAAAATCAGTTAAGAGATTCTGTTCAAATTCTATTAGAAGATTCTGATCAATGCCAGTTAGAAGATGTTGTTCAACGTCAGTTCAACAAGCAATTTTCAGATGCTTTGGATTCAACTTTTCTGATCTCTAGAAGATTTTAGAACTGCACTGGATGATGATAGGGGGCTGCAAATTACAAAGGAACCACCAAACAAGGGTTTTTACTAAAAAGGAGAGCTTTCGGGAAGTCAGGAGTGTGAGGAAGTTGAGTCTCATGACTCGGATGCAGAAGTGCACTATAATCTTAATTCCATTCCACGACTGGGTGTCGTTACTAGATCTCGGTGTAGCAAACCAAAATCCTCTAATTAAGCAAATGATTAATACAATCATGTGGAATGTCAAAGGTGCAAACCAAGATGCTTCAAGGCTCATGTTGTTACAATTAATTAGAATGCATGATGTCTGCTTCGTTTCTATTTTAAAGCCTAAACTTAAACCATCGAGGTTATGGGTTTTTTGTCCTACAATGTGTTGTCCGAATTTGATATTGAAAATTTACGTGCAAGTATACACGATCAACAAGTAATAAAGTGATAAGTAGAGTATCGTTCTCACGGAGAATTATTGTTAATAACTTTAAAGTACTAACTTTATATCAATTCGATTTTATTTAAATAATTAGAATCAAACTTCTTACAATATTTAGATAAAATTATCTCTTTCAATTAAATTACTATATTCCTATGCAAAATAATTTGAACTAGATTCATTAAATTCAAACTCTTATAAAAGTTACACACGGTATGTAGATATATTTATATCATATACACAAACTCAGCTATTCAATCCGAAAAAGAATTAATGAGACGCATGTCATCTTATTCCGATCTAAACCTATAATTCATCTTCCACTTTCATCTAGGTTATCAAATTAATTGTTAGTCACACAATCATATACTAAGATCAAAATATAACAAACAACTCATGTATGATCAATAGAACTAGAAACGAGAGTAGATCAATTTAACTAGACATTAGGTCCGTTGCAATATTAATAAAAATTTAGTTCATAATGTAATTGAAAAACATCCTTCTAAAATTAAACAACATCTCAGAAAATTAAGAAGTAAAAGTAAGAGAAAAGAATGAAAACTTAGTTGCAATCTTCAATCTCTCTCTAGCCTTCAATTCCGATTTTCTTCGTATCACTTCTTTCGATTCTTGTTTTCAATTTTCTTTTGATCCTTTGGTTTTTCCTATGTTAGCAGCCCCCAAAATCAGTATATCCCCTTTCCAACTCAAACCCTAGTATATATGTAGCATTAGAGTTCAATTTCGAGCCAAAAATAAGTCAAAATTCGGGTCCAAAGCCAACACAAGTGCCTAGGCGCTTAAAACCAGCACAGGGGCGCTGACTTTCTGCCCTTCAGGCGTAGGGGCACTGGTCCTAGTGCAGCTACGATGGTCCTCTTTAAAGCCTAAAGCTTCCCTTGTTGCTTAGCCTTCAAAAATCCAACACCTAGGCTCCAAATTGACCTTGTTTCCTTCCAAATAATCTTGTTTGCTTCCAAATGATGATTCCTACCAAATAACATCAAAACACACAAAACATATAAAAAGAAACATAATATAATTGAAAACTTGCATATTCATCAAGCCTAAAGTATTCAATTCGTAGGTATAAAACACACTCATCAAATACCCCCAAACTTAAATATTTGTTTGTCCTCAAGCAAAATACTAAGAACAAAACCATAAAAATTAACCCAAACAACCAACTACTCAAACAATGGATCAATATGAATCTGAATAATGGCCCCAAAAAATTACTATAAATAATAATTCACAAGAAACTTCAAAACAGTGTAATGTCTATCAATTCAACATACTCCTTAGTTTTACTTCTGCTCATGACCCTTTAAATACATGTACATATCTGAACTATCCATCCATTCATCACCCAAATACATTTATGTAATCAAATGCTTCATAGGAGATACCCAATATCAACTCTATGAACTTACGTTTCACATCAACCTCCCCTTATTAAGGCAACCATATAACTAGAAGGTCCAAAGATTTTTTTTTTCCTCTCACTCTTTTTTTTCTCTCTCTTTTTCCATTCATTTGGTGATTGCATTTTGTGCTGCATCTCACCTCCTCTTGAGCAAGTGCGTTTTATGCTCCATCTCGCCTTTTCTTGAACGAGTATATTTTACGCTGCATCTCGTTCTCAATATGTGTTTATGAGTGAGTGTGTTTTACACTTTATCTCTACTCACCACATGTCCCTTTCTTTCTCTTTTTTCTTTTTTTTTCTTTCTAACTCATGAAGGATTAAATCAAAATAATTTTCCAAAACTTTGTTTTTTACTAACCCATCGTAACC